TCAGATAATTAAATGTGTCAAAGCGGATGGATGCTCTGGTGCCTTGATTGGGAGCGACCCTCCATCCTAGCTGTCTTCCTTCCGGCCCTCTACATCTATTTGTGTTATCCAGGAATCCCCCTCCCCCATCCATTCGGCCTCCGAAAATATTACAACGTACCCGCTGCCTGTAAACAAGCGGGAGGTCTGTAAAAAAAAAAACAAATATCGCTTCCGCATCTTTCATTTCGTTGCGAGAGTCATCCATTCAAGATTATTGAAAGGAGCATGCTTAGTGGTAGTGATGTCTTCAAAAGCGTTCCATTTGCTTATAGAAATTATTTATACAAAACAATAATTTGAAAGCCTCGTCGAGTTTCGAGATATAAAAGTTGACGACCTCAATGCTCCTTACTTTGTCACTAATAAAATAATCCATAAAGACCTCAATGTTCCATATGTTTCCGATTTGGCCAAATCCAGATACCTATCCTTTCATAATAAACTTCATAACCATCCAAATCCTCTTGTTTCTAACCTTACTTCCTCTTCGATTCCTGATAACCCTCCGAGGCGTCTGAAAAGAAGATGACCTCGTGATCTTCTCATGTAGACAAATTATTAGAGTGCTACCAGTGGGTAGTTTCTCAACAAGCGTGTTTCATGTAATAATATTTCTCTGTACAAATTTACTTGATGTATTCATACTAATACAGTTGTAAATATCATAATAAAAGTTAAAAAAAAAAAAAAAAAAAGTTGACGATATTCTATTTACTTTTTGGTATTGTAGGAGGAAAAGAATCGGCAAGGTTTTATTAATTTATTTTATCAAAAATTTATATCAAGTTTTAACTCGATATCCCATATATTTAAATAATGTGTTCTCATCATTATTAAAAAAAATAATGTGTTGATTAACAAAATATATAACTTTCTTGAAAGATATTTAATTGCACAGTGATTCGTCCAACCATTGACTCTGGCAGTACTTTATGGCAGCGCCTCGTCCAGCTTTGTAGATAAATTAAATGTATTTCATATTCCTATGATTAGATTAGCGACTGGATCGTTTAGAACCAGCCCGACAGCAAGTTTGCTTTTTGACGCGGAAGAATGGTCACAATCTTAACAAGGACTTACAATTTCCTTCAAGCGTCGGCCAAACTCCTTTAGGAATCACTCCTTTACCTCTTACCCATCATTTTGAATACCATGATAACTCTCGACTCTTCCCATAAAATATCCGTTGTCTATCCACACCCAGTTCTCCCTTAGCATGTAACCACTTCAAAATTCGACTTCACTTTGGTTAATTAGTTGAAAAATCAGCCTTTTTCCAAATATGACAATGGATTATTTTAAAACATCATCAGTTACGAAAATACTCAATCTGTATTCACTGATGGGTCAAAGACTGACAAAGGTGTCGGCTGTTCAGTAATAATCGGTACAGAAATCATTCGTTACTTTTTTTTTTTTTTTTTTCCTCTTCTTCCCTACCTCGCCTTTTAGGCTATACGGATTTTCCCGAACCAGGGGGTGAGGGCGGGGAATTTAAAATCCCCTCTGGGACCGGGACGCGAACTCGTGACTATTTTCATATCATAGAATCATATATCCGGTTGCCGGGCAACGGCGGTGCAGTGCACACGCGTTAGCCCATTCGGCTACCCCGCCATCAAAAATCATTCGTTACTGTTAACCTAACATTTTCTCCAAAAACTCTGCAGTTACCGTTTTAACAGACGGACTTCTTATATGTATATTTTCCTTAAAGTCCCTTAAAGAAAAGTTAAGTTAAATACTGGGCATAAATGGGTATGCATAAGTTTTTAGTAGCTAACTTAAATTATTTAATGAGAAAACTCTCCATTTCAGAGAATTTTTTGGCCAATAAGTAGGTATAAAAATGAAAATAATATTTCTTAGTCTACAAATAGCACATAAAATATTTTTTTATTTTTCAGGTCTAAGTTCCTCGCAGGGACCAAAGCTATCCCAGTTGATGGTACGCTCTGACAAAGCTTCTGCCAATCGAGTCGGATCTGATCTGTTTTGCTGGTTAATTTTTTGTGTCAGAATTTAATGTGACTTGACGGTCTATCGTACTTGTACGCCCTAACAGCTGACTTAAGAGATTTCTGATTCGATGGTTTATTACGCCCGATCAACTAAATAACACCACTTAATACTGTTTGGATGGTTGGTACAAAAAAAAAAAGAAAATAATAATAATAATAAAAAAAAAAATTAAAAAAATAAATAAAGAAAGAAATGGATTTATAGAATAAAATAAATAAATGAGGATAATAATAGATATTTATAGGTAATAAGATGTATAAAAAATGTATAAATAAACTTAAAATGTATAAAATAGCAGTACAATCAATAAATGAATTGAGATTAATAAACAAATGAATTTAAAATGAAAAAAAATAATAATAATAAGAGAAAATAGAATAAAAATAAATAGATAAAAAAATAAAAAAATAATAGTAAATCTGCAAAATCTGATTCGATGGTATGCTGACCAGTTCTACTGCATTTGGTCTTTCAATGCTTGCTGGATAATGTTATCCTCCAATTTCTATGATCTTACATCTTATTTACAGTTTTTAAAGCTTTAAGAATAGGAGACCATGTCTGATAAGCCGGCATGCATTTCGGGATTCGGCAGATCGGTCATTTCATAATTTACTAGCAGTCTGTGGCGAGAAATAGGTGATATCAATTTATATTTTGATCCCAAACCCTGAAAAATATTAGAACCTTAAACGATGCCAATAGTTAAGCCTTTTCATACGCAACCATAGCTCTATTGTATGCTCCTTTCCTATAAAATAATCTCTTCAACAAACAGCATCTAGGACACGAGGTCAAGAAGAGATCGAATACCGCTGATACAAAAACTCCTTCAATTAGGCTCGACATGAGGTTCTCGAAGCCTGGGAAAGGTGATTTTTTTTTCTGGATGGGAAGGAATTGCAACTTCACGGGAAAGAAAAACTACAGGTTGAAGTAGCTTAATCAGCTACGAGATTTTCACTTCTAGCTCACTTCAGTTACTGATTTTGTCAGATTATATGTAAGAATTGATACCGAAAGAAACGTATATATGATAAGACCGAAAAAAAAATGCACTAAAGAAAACGAAACACTTCATCATATATTATTTAAAAGCCCAATTTACAGTAGTTTACGGTTAAGAATTTACCAGGATATGGGAATTCTTGATGGGATAGAAATATTTAAGCCAACCAGTGCAGAAGATATGAGAAAATTATATTTTTTGATCTCAATTATTTCAAATTATAGAGAGCTTGTAGGGTAATCTGGGATATTGTCCTCTGCATACACTAGCAGATCCAGGATTTAATTTTGGGGGGGCTTCAGCCCGAAAGCTTTTTTTTTCATAAAAATAACGATAATTACTTTGGAAAAACAGAAAGAAACTAACTACCTATATGAAATGGTGTTTAAGTGATTCCTTAAGTCCTTTTAAATGTAATTACACGAACAATAATACTTTAAGAGATATTTTTTAATTTTTTTTTCAAAAAAACATGGTTATATTTTACCATTTTGGGGGGGGGGCTTCAGCCCGAAAGCCCCCCCGTAGATCCGCCCGTGTCTGCATATTATGGCAAAAATTCCATATATCACATCGGCATGTAATCTGTCCGGGTATTTTTATTGTTTGTTCTCCTAGGTATAGGGGTAATATTTTAATTTAATTTTAAAACATAGTTTAATATTAATATTTTTACAAATGAGTATTTATTGTTTTTATTATATTTATTCATGTATATTCTTGACAAGGTTAGATTCTATATTAATTTGATAATTGAAACTATTTTATCTATCTGATTTTTACCGAATATGATTTTTATTTCAAGCTTAAGAGTGTTGTAATATCTGTTATTTAGTATAAAAAGGAATGAATTTGTATTTCTATAAGGATAATAATGTTTGTTATTTTGTGATAGACTCCATTTGTATAGGGTTCTTCCCTTAATACAAATAAAGATTGAATATTGATACCGAAAGAAATATATATATGATAAGATCGAAAAAAAAAATAAGAAGCCTGGTTGAAAATTTGTAAAATAAAATTAATCTGTAATATTTAAATTACACTCGTACTCGATTTTTTTTTTATTTATTGATTTTTTTTTATTTGTTAAAGATTATTTTACAATCTTGTACAAATGATACATATATGAATAACTTTATTTCACCTACATGAGTCTAGTTTATCCTAACTGTACATTGACTTATTATAAAAACAATAACTAAACAATAATACTTCATTACATTCCAATTAATTTCTATCTACATTATCAATAAAACCAAAAAATAAAAAAGAAACAAACAATTAATTGAACTGACCAACAATTATCCTTAGTCATAGCTCTTGGTTGTTGTGTGGAACATCAGAGCTTAAGGAATCCAGTGAATTGCATGCTGACATTATGAACCAGTAAATTTTATTAAGTTTCTCTATGCTATCGATTCGAAGTATGTCTTGTATCTTGTTTACATCACTTGGCGCGGAGAGAAATGCTCGTAAATGTTTGTGTCTGTTGTCTGTTAGCTTTTCACAGTACAGAAGGATATGGAATAGGCTGTTAGTAATGAATTGGTTTCAGAAAGTGCAGGTTTCCTGGGCTTTGAAGTAGAAACTTTTATTTTTCGTATAGAGCTTAATTAATTCGGGATTTGAAACCCTTAACTGACTTACTGATCTTAGCTTTTTCATGTTAGCTCTATACATCAAATAGGACTCTGGGCTGGAAATATTGAAGCTGGAAATAGTTCTATATATGGGATTGTTGTTGGAATTTATGGATAAATACATACGCGATTGATTCTATATTAATATGTAATATTTTTAGAAAAGTTTAAATTTTTTTTTGTTCAATACTTGTTTAACAAAAAGGCAGAGTTTGTAAACATATTCTCAGTTAAGTAAACATATATACAGCCATACAGAAATTATAGGAACAGCCATGACAAACCTTGTCTGCTTGCCGTAAGCAGTCTATTCTTCGCATCTTCCCCTTTTGGTCAGGGTTGGAGAGAACGCACATGGCTGGTTTCTTCCCCGTGATGCTGAGAACGAAGTCTTCTCTACATTCTTGGGTTATGTCTTTTCTCAGTTTGCCAAGAAGTCTAGAGGCCCACTTCTGCTTCACTTCCACTTTCTCGTTCTGAAATAAAATTGAAAATTAGTTTAGCGAAGTAAGAGACTCTACACTATACCTACAATAACTCATTATGGGTGATAATCATCAGGACGGAGTCAGTTTTTAAGATTTTTATTGCCAACATTTTGTGGGTTCAAGGGATCAAATTATGGTTAAATATACTTTTTTAAGCATAGTAATGGTAATTAATCACGTAATAAGTAATGACATTTTGATCTCATTTGAAATATTACAATCTGACACAATTAAGGGCTTTTATAATAGTGTTCAGAGAGCACATTCACACTCTATTTGCAATAAATAATACAGAAACTAATAATAATAAAAGTAAATGTATATAAACAAAAGGACTAAACTAATCAAAATAACAACTAAAACACATGCATACTGTACAATATTTACAGAATCCATTCACTCAGAAGAATTCCAAGCCAAGTCTTTCTCACCACTCGTGAAAGAAATGTTATTTACTTTTTTTGAATGACAAATGACAAATTATTATTTTTTTTTTTGCATTGAAAATTTCTTTTTTAGTGTCATAAAGTAAAGCCACCACCACCACAAAAAAAAAAAAAAAAAAAAAATGGAAAAATGATTCGTTTTCATTGGTCCATATTTGTCCTGATAACTAATAAATATACTAAAATAAATACTGAAAACAATCATAATATGTTCTAGTTTTCAAATTATAAAGCATACACAGTTACTAAATGTAATCATGTATTATTAAAATAATATTAAAAAATTATCCATAAAAATATTATTGTTCGTGCGATTATATTTTTTTTAATAGGTCTTCAAGAATCATTTCATAAAGGTAGTTAGTTTATATATAATTCTACCAAAGTAATTATCGTTTTATATATATATATATATTGCACGAATGCAAAGCTTCCTCATCTTTTGGTAGAAAAGAAAGGCGTTCAGTATTTGATAATAAATCATTACTTACTAATCTGACTTAATATTTTGCAATAATGATCTCGTCAGGGAGTGGGGTAGCTCAGTGGTAGGGTACTGAGCTTCCAATGCTAAAGGTTCGAACCCCGGCTCATGGCAGAAAATTTATTTATCTGTTTCATTGGCCGTGGGGCGACTCTGGGTCGGGAGAACCTCCTGGGGCACACCCAGCCTCTATAAAGTGGGTACCCTTAATTAAAAAATTGATTAAGGGAGAAAATCTGGCGGTTGAGCGTGATATCGATCAAATCACCTCCTTGCACAACCTTTGACCTAGAAACAGTGCTTTCCCTAAATAGTACTAAACCCCAGACCCTTCATGGGTTGTAGTGGTACAGGTTAATAATGTTCTCGTCAGGCACAAGCTTAGCTAGTATCCCCCTGACTGACTGAAGTATCAAGTACCCACTTTATGATTGATGAGAATACCTCGGTGTATTCTGATCCCAAGGTCTATCTACTGATAGAATATAATAAATATTTTGAACCAAATTTTGTATCAAACCTGGGCACGCATATTGGGTCATACTGATCTAAAGCACTAATTTAAATACCTATTTCCACTATCCTAGAGAAAATATATAGCCTAACGATTTATTTACAATGAAGGAATAAGAATTGTAATACTCAATGTGTGAATAGTTGTCAATATACATATGTCTGAGATAAGTTTCCTCGTCTTCAAAATAAATTATTCATTATTTAAATGTATTATCGTAATGGAAGTTTTTGTAGTAGGCACGTGCTTATACTAAAAATAGATCGATTCATTTCATTATAAAAAACTTATCTGTTGATTTAAATCAAATTTGTATTCGATTCGCACATCTCAGCTTGAACTGTTTTGTACTAATAACATGAAATTTACAACTATATGTTCATTTATGTATGTTGTAAAACGTTATTATAAAGCATTATTATTCCTGAATAAAGGTTAATAATGATTTAGCTAAAATGATGGTGTATATTTTGATCTCATAGTGAGTGTACAGTTATTTATGAAATGATCGGAATTGCGATGTTTAGCATGGGGATTTTTTTTTATTGTAAAATTTTTTATTTATTTATTTATTTAGAAATACAATAATCTCTCTCGTGGACAATAATTCTAGTGAATGTATGAACACGTTCACACCATATATACTGAACACATAAAATTAACAAAAGTAAAATAATAATCAATAACTATGTACAATAAAAAATAAAATAACCTAAAGATAAGTAAATTAAAAACACAGTCATACCTATATACAATATATATAATCAGGCAGGGAACCCCTAGCTTCTCCCTCCAACTACAGAAGGAGAAGCAGAACTCCAAGAGATCCCTGGGCTACTCTCTCAACCACATCACTGGTGCTAATGCCAGTAGTTTGTAAACTTTAAATGTATAGAATAAAAGACTGGTAATAACCTGCATCAGTGCATTTTTTGTTTACCCTCAACAACTTATAGAATAATATCAAATGTTTTTGAAGTGAAAAATTCTTTCATTTATCTTCATATGGAATTTATAGTAAGGGGAAGTATTACGAAAATACACGTTTTAAGCATGGCGTGGAGAGATACATAGGCCCAGGGGTGGTTAGGGTCTATATGATCTATAGTACCTATCGAAAAGAAAATAAAATAAAAAATATCGATATACAGGGTGCCTCAGTTCTTAATGGCAAAACTCTGAGGGAGGGAGGGAAGGCGATTCTAGACAAAATTTCCAACAAAAAAGTTCATTCGATGCATGGGCCGATCCCGAACGGAAAAACAGTCAAGACCAATTTTGTGTTTTCCTTAAAGTGGTCACGTTTTTTATTGAATAAGAAGGAATTTCTAAAATATTATTCAAGATAATTCCTTCCCAAGTACGCCATCATAAAGTAGACAATTTTTTTTGAGAAAATAGTGATTAAATTCACTAAGGTCAATGATAAATTGGACCTTTAGGAGGTCTAATAAAGCCACTGTACAGAGATATGCTGCTCGTATATGGGTACTGTAACTTCAACAGTAGTGTTGCCCAAAATCGGTCTTGGTCTTGCACTTTGCAAGACCAAGACCAAGGCTACCTAATTGTTGCAAGACCAATACTAGGACTGAGTATGTTCAGTTTTTGAGAAATTTCTTCGAATTCAATAAAAAAACTTGACTACGTTATAAAATCTAATTAGACTTTGGACTACATGAAAAAAGCATGTTAAGAATAAAACGGTTTGAAGATGGCTTACCGGCCGAAACGTAGCTATGAAAATTAAAATAAACAGAGCCTTATTTTATAATATTAGAAAATTTTCACCTTAAACAAACACATATGGACTTGACTACGTTAAGAAAAACACAGAATTGGTCCTAACTCCTTTTATGTACAGAATCGGCCCATGCATCAAATGAACTTTTTATTTGGAAATTTTTTATAGAATCACCACCCAAAGTTTGGTCGTTAAGACCTGAAACACCCGTATAATTTTATGGTCATATTATCAACTGGATCTTAAATAAATGTATATATATATATATATATATATATATATATATATATATATATATATATATATATATAGTGGAAATATTGTTGACCATAAATCAAATACCGAGAGAAGTTGGTTGGGGATGGGGTCAAAGTTGCCTTGTTTTGAAGATCTCATCCCTGATGAAGGCTCAACACTAACACAAGTACATAAAGCTTTTTGTGTGAGCTCTTATCTCTGACTGTACTCTAAATTAACAATGAGTTTGTTTAATAATTAAATAAAGGAGAAATATTTTCCTAGGTTGAAAATAAATCACTGGAATAAGTATAGCCATCTATATATCTGTACAGTTTACCGTTGAAAAGCTGAAGATTTTTTAAAATAAATAATATCTAACATAGAGAATGGTAGAAGATGATGAAAAGTGACAGAAAAATAATGACTATTAATTTTTGTAACTAGTAATTTCACCTTTTACATTGAATCTAAATGAAAAATTTAAAAACAATTTTCAGCTTGACAAACGAAAATAAATAGCGCTCTACATAAAAATAATATTGTAAATCTATATATTTTATTTTGTTTAAGTTGAAATTATGATTCATAATAAATGGATCATGGACAGAACATCTTACATGATGGACAAAATATAAAGAGCATCTTTATTTTAATTATACAGATGGTTTGAAAATGGCAATATAGCCGAAACGGTGCCAGTGTAGAAAAGGAAAAATAAAAATGGTGAAATAAATATAGCCAAATCCTTTGATTATTGTATGTTATAATAATTTCCGATAGTTGACATTTACAATAACTCACAGGCGGACCAATGGGGAGGGAGAGGGGACTTTCAGGCCAAAGCTTTATTCCATCAAAATGGTAAAATACAACCATCTTGTAAAAGAGGTTCTCTAATATTATTATTGTATGTGTAATTACATTTAATAGGATTTAAAGATTCACTTAAACACTATTTCATATAGGTTGTTAGTTTTTTGTTTTTTTTTAAAGAAGTAGAATCGTTATATACATTAAAAAACACTTTGGGGCTGAAGCCCCCGTAATTAAATCCTGGATCTGACAATGCAATAATATTATTTTCTTAAATATTATTAATTTATTTTAAATTAATTTCTATTAAAAATAGAGTGGAAAATGATAGCCGTGTGATGTGAGCATTGAACCAAATTTTTCGGTGGCTTAAATTACTAAAAATGTTTACATTTTTTCAATTCAAGTTTTTCGCAACGCTGTCATCACCACATATACCGATGACACGTGTATCCTATCAGTTAACAACGATCCATCTATACCCCATACTCTTCAATCACACATCCCAAGTCTTGAAAAATGTTGTCAAAACTGGAGGATTAAAATAAATTCCAATAAATCCCATAAAATTACCTTCGGCGTAAACTTATCACTTCCTGTCCTACAGTATCCTTCAACAATAGCCCACTTATCGCTGTTGAATAAATCCCATACCTAGGACTCCACCAGGACAAACGACTCACTTCGAACCCCATACCAGACTGAAACGACTAGAAACCGCCCGAAGTTTTCGACTACTGCAGCACTCACTA